CAACTTTCGGTGTATAGGTTTATATTATTCGGTTGTTACTTTTTTCTCTTCTTTTCTTCTTTGTTTCCCCTCTCTTTCTTTCTTTTTCTTCACTCCTTGTTCTTCTGCTTCCATACCCCATGTTGGTTTGTTTCGGAGGCATAGGGTACTTTTCTTTCTTGGTGCCTGATGAAATCATATATAAATAGCACGAAACCAGATAAAAGTAAATTTAGGGTATAGATGTCAACCACTAACCATGCGCCGCTCCTTCGGCAAGAGACTGGGTGAGACAGCTCATTTTCTGTGATAACATGGCGCCATCCTGTCCAATGTCCACAACAATCACACGTCATTTGGGGGGTGATAGTTGTGACTGGCGAAACGTGTTCGACGGATGCACCTTCAAATGCAAAAGCTCGATGGGGCAAATGGCAGTGCGTCCTTAGGCGCCCACTCTAGGTGCCTCAGAGAAGCCAAATCGTTTAGCGCCGTGATAACCAACAAATCACATGCAGGTCAGCACGCCGCAGATCGACCGCTTCAGACACGTTGTCGAGGAGGGGATCCAATCAAGGCAACGTGACGAGTCAGGAGACTCTCCGTTTGGTCTGGTACCTCTTTGTTCTCATCTCTTTGGTCTTATCAATCCAACTCATCATACTTTGACCGTCGCCCACAATGCATAAGCACAAAGGGACAGACCGAATCCGATTCGCTTCTGACCCATATTCTTACCACCGCGGGGTTGGTCACAAGGGTTTCAGTGCTGCTTTATGCCAGCCACCTATGAGCTGATTGTTGTCCACCGGCTTGGGGTCCCTTTTTACTTGGGGCTTTTTGCCCGGTGTGCCCTGCCTGTCCCTCTTGGATCTGATTCTTCCCCTTCTCTTTCTTTCCGTACGGTTGGGACCCCACTGGATGATGGACCAACGGCTTGGAACCACTGGTAGCCATGAAGCGGGCAATTGAACAAGCAGGGTCGGTATGCGCTGGCTGGATCTTGTCCTGCTTGTTCTTCTGCCCGGGTTCGGGGGGCGATGACGAAAGCTTCCACCACCAACAGTCTCTGAAGCGAAAAGGTATGTATACCTAATATACCTGCTGAACATATTGCCCGCGGCAAAACCATAGGAAATTACTGACCATTCTCTTATCTTAGGTGACGAGCGAGAGATTAAAGTATGTCATACGCAGCCTCATCTGGTTCCCCCGATGAAGCTCGCCGTCGACAGTTCTCTCCCCAGGCCAAGTGCTCCAGCCTGGACATCGTCTACTCCATCACTGGAGCTGGATAGTAGGCTGTCATCGCAAAGGCCCAAACGAGCGAGTCTCACTTTCAAGAGAAAGTCAACTGCTCCTTTACGAATCAGCGGGCCCTCGGAATTCAGAACAGTTTCCAGCTTCGCAACTTCTTCCAGGGGATTTCATCCCGATAGTTTTATCCTCCTTTCGCCTGGGCAATTTCGTCCCCTAGAGCTGAGCTTCGAGGCCTCCGGCAATGGACTGCCAGATCTTCCCGAGTTTGATACCTTTCAAGTAGAAGAAGAATGCCCAGTACTTACCCGGCCGTCGCGCACTCTGAGAACATCCGCTGATGTCTCCCGTATATCCCGCGCCAAATCCCACCGACCTTCTTCTTCCTTTCAATTGGTGCGGAAACCTGTTGGCTCTGGATCCCGGCGATCCTCTCTAGCTACTATGGAACAGCTCATGGACAAACAAATTCCTTCCAATAACCCCTTAGTCCCCCACTTCTCTACCCGCTCACATGCAGATAATGATCCGACTGCAAGTCAGCATCATCCTGGTCACACTATGCTGGACACACCCAATGGTTGCGGATTGGTAGTGTCGAAGCGGGAGTCTTACAAAGAGCCACAAGCAAGCAGAGTCACCATACCCCCTAGGACTCCTACAAACACCACCAGCACCAACCTGCAGGACAGGCCATTGCCCCCTATCCCAGTGGAAGATTCTCCTTCATCTGGCACCACTCAACGACCCCCGACGACACCGACCGAGACCCGGCCACCGACCACTCCTTCCGAGAATCGTAATCCTAACTCAGCAACAACAACACCCACCCGATCCGGCCGCGTCACTCAATGGCTCTTCCAGTCAAGCAACAAGGCCTCACCCTTCTCTTCTTCCACATCCCCTTGGAAGTCCACTTTCACTGACAAAAACCCCTTCCGCATCCGCTCCCGTACCCTTAGTGGATCCACCATCACCTCAAGCCTGACCAGCCTAACGGGTGGCTTCAAGACTACCCCATCTTTATCCAGCAATACTATAGCAGCCACCCCAGCTCGTCCGTCCCACATTGATCCCCGTCTGCAAAAGGAATTAGACGTGCCTATGTGCTTTTCTCGTCCATATACACCTAAACAGGCGGATGACCCTGCCATCTATCCAACCATCTTTGAAGGCCAACAGCAGCATCAGCATCCACAGAACGGATATGACGAATTCGATCACAATTACTACACGACATATCGTCGGTCCGCGGTCGGTTTGGCTTTTTAAGAGGGATTAGGAGGTGGGGGGAATAATGTTCCTGTATATACCTTCACTTCCACGCCGTCTTGACTTTATCATTTCCTGGTAATAATTCGTCTATTTATTATTATATACCTCCTTGTTTTTTTATGTCTAACTATGGATTACTCTTCTCTTTCCGTCTCTGCTTTAATTATCTTCTGATTCACCCATTGGCAGTAGATAGACAAGAGAATATTTCACATGGATGTTACAAAGCACACTTCGTAGTCTGAAATATTCTTCGACTGCATCCGAAGAAGCCGCGGAGTTGGAGTCCCTTCTGTCCGAACGAATTTGTGACTACATATCACCATGATTATTCATGTGCCTCCCTTGGCAACGACAACGCATCGGTTATGAATGTAGCCTAGGGCCCTAAAGTACATGCACAGCATTTCTATTACACTATCGATTACCACATAGTAACTCCGCATGGAGGAGACACCAAAGGCGCATCGGCCCGAGGATTTTCCTCCTAGCCAGCTAAGGCGGTCAGGTGATTTATGCCGAAATATCTGTTTTTCTAGCGATATCGCCGACTCTCCCATCCTCTCAGCACGACAGCTCCATATCACTTCCTTCTCCTGCAATTACTCACCCTTTCTTAAAATACCTCCGTCACAATGTTCCAACGTGCCATCCTCAGACAGGCCCAGGCCGCCCGCTCTCTCCTTTCCGTCCGTTCGACGTCTTCAGCACCACTGGCGCTCCGCCGCACGTCACAATTCCAGCCGCAAACCCTTCGTCCATTTGCTCCTTTGCCTGGCTTGCGCAACTACTCCACAGAGAACAAGGCCGAGGAAGGCAAGCAGGAGAAGAACGAGAACGCTGAATCGGAGTCCCAGAACCCCGAGGATGCCATTCGTAAGGAGCTTGAAAAGAAGGAGAAGGAGGTTGTTGATTTGAAGGTAAAGCAATCAATATGCTCCTGATGATTTGACTATCTTCCCAACTACATCCATACATTTACATATGTATTTACATACAAAAACTGTTCTTCACAGCTCCGCTAACACGCCACGCTACAGGACAAGTATGTCCGCTCCGTTGCAGACTTCCTCAACCTCCAGGAACGCACCAAGCGTGATATGGACAATGCGCGCAACTTCGCCATCCAGCGCTTTGCCGTTGATCTTCTCGAGAGCATTGACAACTTCGACCGTGCCCTCCTGGCTGTGCCCGAGGCCAAGCTCAACTCCAACGAGCCTGAACACAAGGACATCAAGGACCTCGTCTCCGGCCTGAAGATGACCCAGAACATTCTGATGAATGCCCTCAAGAAGCACGGTCTGGAGAGGTTTGATCCCAGCGAGCCTGCTGAAGACGGCAACACCCAGAAGTTCGACCCCAACATGCATGAGGCTACCTTCATGGCCAAGGCTGAGGGCAAGGAGAACGGTGATATCATGTATACTCAGAGCAAGGGCTTCAAGCTGAACGGACGTGTCTTGAGAGTAAGCACAACCCCTTCCCTGTCCTACTAACGTCTATGGGGTTCACGACACTAACGAGAAACTTTCCAGGCTGCCAAGGTCGGCGTTGTCAAGAACGACTAAATCAATCACCCATACAAACACCTCATCCTCAATTTCCTCTAAACGCAACCTCACTACCTCTCTTATTCTACCTGTATAATATACCGAATACCTTTCATCATGGCGAGGAATTACCAATTGCGGTAACCGTGATACCACGTCTTTTCTCTATGAATGCATGTGTATGATACACCGGCTATTTTGTTTGCATACGATCGGAAGGCTTATGGTCTGCCCTCCTTTCGTGGTTCCTATCTTTTTTTTTTTTTTTTTTTCGTGTTCATGTCAGGCGTTTGAAACTCACCCCTCACCTCTCACTATATGACATTATATCTGTATAATACATGCAATGATCTGGTCTTGTCATTCTACAAAAAAGGTGGTCTGATTGGCAATTTTTTTGGATATGAGCTACTTGCACGGCATTGGATTATCGGGTTTCCTTTCCTTTCCTTGCTTTGCTTGTTCGTTGGGCTGGGTCGTTTCGGTAACGGGTCATGATGATCTACATTAATAGATGATTGACTGGATCGGTCATTACTATGTTTCTGTCTATTCTTTTCCTTGGCCTTTGGGTGACCTTAGGCGGCGTTGTAGACTTCGATATGACATATGTGCAAGAGCATTGGGTACATTACTGTTTCCTCAACGACAGCGATAACAAGCACAACAGTGTCTTAATTAGTATAGTTCAACGCTTTTTTCCCTGGGTCCATATTGCGGATAGCCTTTAATGCCCTCCTACAGAGATAGTTCATATATATCGGTGTTTGTAAAACTCTGTTCGCATCGAAAATACATCTATATTCAATCGGTTCTCATAAAGCTACTAGCCATGGTCTTTTGTTTCATTTTTAATTGAGTATCAGTGATTTACACTAGCCGTCTACAAAAATATATCCAACACACCTACAGCTCGGCATTAAGATCAAGTAAATAACACACTAAGATCAACCTTGAAGTCGAGATGAAATTTTTATTTTCCAAATACTGTACAGATAAAGGTACACTGGGACCAATCATGAAATAACTGTGGGATATTATACAAGGATCCATGCCACATGCCACAACATGCCGATTTGAATCCGATTACCTCAACTGAACACCCAGCAAGCCTACAAGCTTCTCCCTGACCTGATTATGGAGGTCATTAGTCTCTTCGTTGGTCAAGGTGCGCTCCAGACTGCGGTAGTTGATCCGGTAGCACATGCTCTTCTTGCCGGTCTTTGGGTGCGTGAATTCATCGATAAGTCGGACGTCTTCGACCAGATCGCCTGCAACACCACGGACGATCTCCATGATATCGTTCTCGTGGACTGGCACGGCGCCGCCGGCAGCGCTACCGCCGCTTACGGCCGCAGAAGGCAGCCAGAAGGCGACATCCTTGTAGCAGGCGGGGTGTTTGGAGAAGGGCTCGAAGCGGGAGATATGGCCGGCCTTGAACTGGGAGAGGAAGCGCTCATCGCGGGACCAGAAGAGTCGGATGTCCGGGATGTTGAAGAGGAGCATGGCGATGCGCTCGAGGCCCAGTCCGAAGGCCCATCCGATGCGATTTGGCACGTCCGAGTTGATCAGCAGCTCTTGCTTGATGACACCGCAGCCCAGGATCTCGAGCCAGTCGCCTTGCCAGAAGACTTCGAGTTCCCAGGACGGGCTGGTGAAGGGGAAATAAGCCTCCACCCAGCGGACCTTCAGCGGTTCCTGTTCGGCAGCGTTGTTGCCGTCGGCGGCCGCGGCGGCCTTGCTGGCTTCGGTGAAGATCTTGATCACCATTCGCTCGAGGGAGCGTTTGAGGTGCGCCGCGATGGCCTCGACTTCCTCCGCGCTGTGGTGCTCTGCCTGGAGTGGGTTGCGCTCTGCGTGAATGGTGGGGTTGGGGTCCTCGACGGCAACGTCGTGAGTCGGGATGCGGTTGAGATCGTCCGTGATCCTGGCGGCTGTTTCCTTCGCAGCCTTTAATGGCTCAGTGTCGGGCCGTTTCCACAACATGGCGCCCTCCATTTGATGGAAAACGGGGTAATGGCTGCGATCGATAGCATCTCGGCGATAGACGTCCGCAACAACAGTGTACCCAACTTCTCCGGGACGCGATTTCTCATTCCGGTTGATCTGTTGGAAGTATGCTTGCTGGTGCGCGCTGGTGTGTGTTCGCAACACGGTCTTGTCATTGACATAGTAGGTATCTGTGCGGCTACGGCCGGGGTGGTCCAGCGGGAACCCGAGGACGTCGAAGTTCTGCGCGGTCGTGACAACGGGACTCTTCTCGTGGTAGTTTCCGTAGACGGGACCCGGGAACTGACTTTCGATTAGCTTCCGGGTGATGGCGAGGGGGTGGTTCTCGTCGAGGTAGAGTCGTCTTCCGACGTGGGAGAGGATCGTATCGGGGGTGTTGGTCCATTGGTCTGTGGGGTAAGATTTATCTTCAATTGTTAAAGATGGCTTCTTTATGGAACCCAGAGGATCCGGCTTCTGATCCGGGTTCGTCGACCCTTGCGTTCTGAGAGCCGTTGTTGAGCTCCAGGTTCTGCGGAGAGGGTCCGAGGTGTGCGAGACATGCGAGAACGGAATGCGCACGTTCCTGCTGATTGCCCATCTGCTGCTGGTGGCCCGCAGCGCCCTGCCTGTGGCCAAGAGGCGCATGTCGATATAAAATGCACCCCGAATGGCGCGGTGGAATTGATTACCAGGGTGGAAGCAGGTAAATGGGATGACTTACTCCGATGCGGAATCAATACAAACATTCCGGGCCGGGGAAATTAGTGGCCGACGGGATTGTGCACAAATCACTATTTTTCCACTACGTGCTGACCGAACGTATCGAAACATTCAATACATGTCTACTCAAATTTGAGATGGTTACGCATCTTGGGATGGGCCAGAAAAGGAGAGCTGGCTTAATTGAAAAGTAATGACAAGCCCATACACCACGAAATGCCTTCCAATCATCCACCAACCCGAGAAACAGAATATAAACAAGGATTAGATCAATGAACACCCAAGCAATCGTCCTTAGTTAAGGCTCCGAGAAGAAGTCACAGAAAGCACAGAAATGGTCAACCAACGCGTCTATCGCTTTTGCCTCGCTTTCGCCGGTCAATGCAGAGAAGGAAATGAGAGAAGCGATGACCTAGTACCGCAGTTGTAGACGCCAGCCACCAAATAGTCGAGACACAGAAGCAGATCAGACCAGAGCAGACCGAGCATGAGTAGTAAACCGTGACGCCAATCCCAAATGAGCGTAGAGACGGGCTAACGCCATGAAGTACAATGTAAAATATGTGAGAGAAGGAAAGCCAGGCTAATGCGGATAGCGATGGAGGGAACGCTGCGACGAATACAAGATCTCAGCCCCCTTCTCAAATCCCTTCGATGGTATCGTCATCTGATCCGTCGGCAAGCATAGAATGGGTCGGTAGCTTCCGTCCTGATCCATATACCATCTCCATTAACTTGGCTTTCTGCTTCTCCCGGACAGACCGAAGGTAATCATAGCTGCCCTCTAAGCCACGAATCTGGCCTTCTATTACAGCCTCGACCGGCCCTAGCATCCGGCCATTACTCCGACCACCACTTGAATCAATAGCACCAGCAAAGCTCACGGAATCGTTGCGTCGGACGAGTGGACTGACGAGCTTTCGTCGCAGAGTTTCCAGGTTGACCTTAAGAGTAAGGAGCCGGCCGCGGTGATCCATGAGGAGATGCTTGTTGGCGACCGTCCGGCTACGGACATTAGCGAGCAGCCGCTTGTTCTTCTCATACTTCCGCACAACGGCTGCGTCAGGCCCAAGAACACGGGTCCAAAGAGAGCTGAGCATTTCACCTTCAGCACGCTCTTGGGCATCTGACTCACGCACAACCGTGCGTTGGATATTGAGAAACTGGCGATCGATAGATTCAAATAGCGCGAAAAGCGCAGTTGAGTGTGTCAACTCGCTGTTAATGGACTCTTCAAGTACCGACAGGAACTCTGTGAAGGTCCGTGTGAGGGTGGAGCGCGTACGCTGGGCCGATGTCTGACCGAACAACGCGGTTACAACGTGGCCAAAGGTGGTCGGAGTGTTTAGCTCGCCACCAACACCATCCCCATCCGAGACGGTGATGCGCTCTAGCGTGCCGAGTCGCGCCAGAAGATCGTGCATATTGTCAAGCATGATCGACGGTAGCGTACTGGGTGGTTGGGACGACAATGTCTCCAGCTCCCGTTTGGCCCAATCCATGACAAGTAAGATTGAGTCCACGTCCGAGTCCACATTGGCGAAAAAGCGCGTCAACTCCAAAGACAGCGACTTCAGGGACTCGGACAACTCATCCAGCTGGCGCACTATGATCGGCGCACTGGTCATATTGGTACCGCGAACAGACTCACTCAGATCCCAGACAGCAACACCGGTCTCCTGCAACGTCCCTATCTGTTGTACGCCATTCTCTGAATAGTATATTAAAGGCTCAAAAGACCGCGCAAAGCCCGACAATTTCACCAGGTCAGGAATTGCTTGCGGCACACTGGGTAAAAACAAAGCGCGCATGAAGACTATGGATAGTAGGGCTACCAGAATGGAAATGGTGGTGTTGGATTTGGAGCTAGTGATCTTATCGAATTTGGATCGCAAGTAACTAAAGAGTGCGACAAAGGGTTCGCGCTGCTGAACCTCTGCGCGCACAGCGAACCGGATATCTTGAGAAAGGCCCACTCGTTAGTATCCCGCGCCAGCATGCTGGACAGGGTTCAAACCGAGATAAAGCCTACAATTGCTTAGATTATTATCCGAGCCAAACTCCAGTCCTTCCGGGGCGGGACTGGTCTCCGGCACCCGGCGTGGGCTAGGTGACCGAACCTTATGCGGTGAGTCTGCGTCCATCGGCAGTGGAACATTGGCAGCGATCGTAAGGTCCCCTGTATCAGTAGAACTGCTCCTTTTACCAGTCATGGGGTCCTCCAGAGCGTCTTCGTATTGCGGACTGGGTTCTCGCGATTGCGATGGGCTTAACCCCACAGTGGGCTTTAGTCCCAAACGGTCCTGATCGACCTTGCGCAGATAGGGCTGATGCCGGTACCACCCACTGCCTTGGACGTAATCATACCTCCGAAACCCTGGGGGTGACCAGCGCTCCCCGTTAGGCGTCATGTCATCTTCTTCCACGTCGGATTCCTCTGACCGAAATCCTGAATGTTGTGACGGTAGACCAAACACTGGAGAACGGTGGGCATTATTTGAATTCTCAAAGTCTTCGAGCGACGCATCCAATGAGGGATGCTCGTCAAAGACGTTATCCAGCTCATCCAACATGGTGGACGGCGTTGCGCACAACCTATACGAAGTTATCAAAGCCACTTCAATCGTTGCGACGCTGAAGCGACGACTTGAGTGGACGAAAACAATTCCTAGATTGTCGCGGTGAGGTGATAGCTTGTGGAGGGGTTAGTCGCAAGCGCACTAAGACGAGGCGGGATCGGTCTTATGCGCTGTCGCGATAAGTGGCGGGGAGAAGGTAAACAGGTGGTAGGTAGGAAAAGACAAGTAACGAAGAGTAGTCTGCAGGTCAGAACGAAGGTACAGGAATGGGCAGACGCAAGACATGGGAATGCGAAAGGGAGGTAGATGCCAGCGGACGAGGCCTTGATGCCTGAGGACGGAGCGGCCGACTAACTGGGTTGCGACAAGTCACGCTCGCTTTCCCGGGGTAGGTAGTAGATACGGAGTACTTGCAGCAGTTACAGAGGCGCTTGCATTAGAAACGTTTGTGGCACAGTGATCAGCAGTCCGCTGTAAATGCCGTTAGTCTGACGACTTGGAAATCAACCAACAACAGGATATCATCAAGTGTTCTGCGGGTAGTCATTCATGTTCTGAGAGGAATGCGGTTCGTGTTCCTTTCTATTTCGTGTCCAGGTACCGAAGGAGAATGAACCAGCGATACCCCCCCTCGCATCGCTCTTTGGGGTTTGAGTTGTTTTATCGGGAGAGCAAGAGAGGGGCGCAGGTGGTGGCTGGGCCAATGGCAGTGGACAGTCCAAGGGGTCATGTGCCAACCTGTTCCAGACCCGTACTGTTCCGTACAGGTCCATCGTAGTTACTGTCCTGTCCTTGGGGACAGGTACCCTCAGGTAGGTTTGCTCTAGACTAGTGGTAAGATACCATCGTAGTTAGTCACTAAAACAGTGGTTGCGAGTGTTCCCTTGAGAAATCCAGTCCAATCTGCCAGTCCAATAACATCCACGGCCGGTAGGGATCGACCGCCAGTTTGCCAGAACTCTCCCACTGCTGATCCAGGACGATAGGACAGGACTCGTCCAAGTGGACCATGATAGCTCCTAGAGACAAATCCTCTTCACACCGTAAGAACCTTGAGGAGGGGCTTCTCGTTCGAGTCGGGTCAAGGCAACGGCCGGTAAGTGAGCGTCGAGCATCTCGGGAATAAAGGCCCAACCCAAAGCGCCCGAATCGGGATTTCCATAGATCCACGTGATGAACCAATGACGCACGTGGTGGAATCACGGGAACTGAACGGGCGTCTGCGGTTAGTCCAAACAAGAGCGTGAGAAGAGAGTGGAAGACAGTCGTCATGAGAGGAGATATCTTTATTCATTACAGCCTTACGGCCTGAAACTTAACCATGATACATAGAACTGGAAAACATGACCATCGAGACGGAAATGGGGAAAGGTTATGGGCCGACATAGACAAGCTCGTGAAGGAAACGTGTCTCTATGAAACCCGCAAATACTGCGCACAAAGGAAAAATCACGTCTATTGCGAGTAAACAAGGTATTGAGTAATATTACATGCCCTGTCCGTCAAACTGCCGAGGATCTGGGAACGTATCAGATCCGATGCGACAAGTCGCTGGAACCGGGTCGAAGAAAGAATTTTGTTCACGTTAAAAAGAGAGTTTAAGCACAGCTCTCCTTGAGGTAACTGATGGAGCATAGCTAGTTAGCACAGAAGTTATTGTAATAGCTAAGCATAACGGGTAAACATACGTGATGAGGTCGTTCCTCTCCTTGCCCTTCTTGAGACCACCGAAGGCCATCTTGGTACCGGGAATGAACTTCTTGGGGTTCTCGAGGTACTTGAACTATAGGGAATTAGTTGACCCATGATTTACAGAGGCAGGAAGAACAATGCATACCAGAGTGTTCTCATCCCAAGTGACACCGGCCTGCTTGTTGGCATCGGTGTAGGCGTAGCCCTCAACGGAACCGGTCTGACGGCCAAAGAGACCGTGGAGCTTGGGGCCGACCTTGTTGGCACCATCAGCCTCGACAGTGTGGCACTGAGCGCAGCGAGTCTATAGATACTATTAGTCACTGCGCAGCAAGTCTTCTATGGATCAATGTCAACTTACCTGGAAGAGCTTGGCACCCTTGGCAGAGTCACCTGGAGGAATAAGGATGTTAGCCGTCTGCTTTGCTTTCTCTGCGGCCTCAAGTTCGGCCTCGCGCATATCGATGGTAGTAAGAAGACAGAAAGTGTCAAAGCTGGTCATGTTGCTCAAAATGATTGTGTATTGTCGGCGCATCCAACTATTGGTTCTTCAATGGAATAGGATGCGGAAGAGAAATGTCGCAGACTGTTCATTGTCTAGAGAACATGGAACACAGAACTGTTGGGGAAATTGTGTTCCTCGAACAGCAGTGGCCATCATTCACTGAATTCCAGGAACCAATTCGTGTTTGTTTGGACACCAGCAGTGAATGACAGGATGGGACGCGCTTGACGAACAACGGGGAAGCAGCCAGCCAGGGAGTGAGGAAGCTTACCAGGAGCGAAACCAGCGTCCTTGGCCATTGTGAATGTGTGTAGTAAAGTCTAAAGAGACTGGAAAGATGTTAAAATGATAGTATACAAAAAGAGGGTATCCCAAAAGCTAATTGAGGAGAATCAATTGAAGGGAGAAAAAAAAAAAACAGGCAGGAAGAAAAACTTGCGATCGCAGCAATTTGTACAAAGCGCCGTCTTCGCCCCCGAGGCCTCCCGTGATTCGAGCCTCGGCCAATCAGCGACGGGATGATTCAGCACTCAACGGGCTCTCTCGGGACAAGGGAAACAACCGGTGTCTTTTTTCAGCACCTATTTTTATTTCCTTGGTTCTGCATTTTTATGGGGGAGACGACGTCTCATATCGCTACAAAGGATGCAACAACGTTATGTATACTTACATTGTCCGGGAACAAAACCCTGTCTGATACCGTACTCAACGCCCTATTACATCCTTTTGTTTACGGGACCATTGCGATGAGCGTCAGTCAAAGTCATTTCGCAAATGCCGGTTTTACATAGGTATGATCTCATATCTCGACGGTGTTTGACCCAACAAAAAGATTACGGGGAGAACTGGGCCGAAGTGGAAATGGATGGACCCGGTCTTTGGAAATGCCTGTCTTGCTATTTGTCCCCCAATGGGCAGAATTCTCGTGACTGGTCTGTGTGTCCAGCCGCCGCCTTTGGCCCGAATTGAGGCCTGAGCCTGAGGCAGTTATAACCGCTCTTTACCTAAGATGACTCCTAACCAGACCGGAGAATTCAAATGAATACAACTTGTCCAGACGGGGAGCCCATGATACCCTCTTCCTAGCTGGGGCGAATCAATGTCCATCCCAACCCTGTGATCAGATCCCCAGGACATATATACAAGCCTAGTAGCCCAATTGCTACCACAAAAAAACCAATCGACTTCTACTTCATCTGCACCGATCTATCTGTCGCCTTCAGCTATGCTGCTTGCACGATGTGGTCTAGAAACATTATGAGTGTATATATAGTTCCACATCTCCTCCTGTTTTCGCCTTTTCTCCCCTAGTCGTACTAGCCTTCAAAGCCGAAGAGCCCTCGTGTCAATCTCTCTGGTCTCAGTCCTACATAGAAGATGTACTTCCTCGCCTCCGTTGACAGCTGCAATACAGCATTGGATTTCGTAAAACCAAGAGAACATCCTCCTTGGAATCCTATACATACGCTATTTTGTTCGGCATGTATAGAATCTTTAGCCAACAACACTAAGGAAATGCAGTCCACCTGAGTGCAACATGGTAGGAAAAGAATGCTCGTTTGAATCTAGTATTTCCCGTTGGGCTCATAGTGGCATACTAGGTAGATGCTTGAAACATAGTTACCTCATAGTATGGCAAATAACTGTCCTCTCTCTCTTCAATAGAACCAAGTTAGATGTTCTAGAACTCTGGGCCTGAATTGCCAATCAACTTCAAGTGATACAAAGACTACTACTGAAACAGCTCCAAGCTGTAATTACAGTTTAGTCTGACATGTTCCGAACTACTGATCGTCACGCATGACATTGAGAGCCCTAGCCGAGGAACTTGACAGGGTACATCTCCGGGACATATAATGAGACGTTTGGAAAGAAAGGCATACATTAACTTACTCCATCACTAAGAGTGAATGAAGTATCTAAAATCTCGGGGGAGATCCGCCTATCTTGGAAAATCTCTAGAGTAGGGTCAGATTCTCTTGCTCCTTATCATGAGCGGAATATGGTCAACTCCAGGACATCTTGTGTAGACATTCGTGAATCTGTCAGAACATGGCATCAACTTGGTCTGTGATAATAGACCATTTGAGGTGCTATCCTTTGTAACGAGTAACATAATTAAGTGGTTCGCGAGTGGACAATGAGTAAGTATACAGAATAAAGGCATGGCTTGCTTGGAGATTTGCGGTCGACCGCATAGGCATCACAGTGCCCCTGCTTTGCATAGCTTCTTAGCTATAGAAACAGGCTATATTCCAGTCAGGTTTCTAGAAGAACAATATCAAAGAAAGGAGTTAAAACCCAAGGTTCAACTTCCATCAATCCACCCCAATGTCCATACATATTCTTTAATCACGTGATCAAACACCAGCATCAACCAGCGGGAAAAAAGTTCCAACTCCGCAGAGCCATCACTCCACCCCCCAACAACACGCACAGCAATGGCCCCGGTCACAATCCCACAGTTCCTCCTACCGCGGGGAATTCCCTCGACGCGGGCCTTCCAGTCCCTCTCGCGCGCAAACGCAACCCACCACCGCATCAGGACCACGACCCGCCGGTGCGCATCAGACAACAGCAAGCCGCGAGTCCTAGAACAGCCCGACAAGTTCCGGCCGCCATCGCACCCGGCGCGCAGGGTTGTGCAGACGCGCAATGGAAGAGTCCTTGGCCGCGAGCCGATCAACTACGGCCCCAAGCTCACGGAGAAAGAGCGGGAGGAGCAGAAGCGCAAGCAGTATCCGAATATGTTCCCACCGGAGGGCACAGTTATGTATAAGTTTTTGACAAATCGGTGGATTCATATCTGGATTGCTATGGTGAGTTTTTCTTTTGTGAATTATGGAGCTTTACGGGTTTAATACTTGCGTCGATGCTGATCGGTTATTTAGAGCGTACTCACGACTTTGGCTACGTTTACCTTCACTACGAACTTTAAGCGGTCGTCGCCATTTGCGCATTTGCTTCCGTCTTGGTCGGATCTGCTTTGGCACCCCATTGATACCGTTTCTCAGGCGTTGGCTGTTTTCCGCATGCATGTGCAGCATACCTCCGTGCAGACGAGGGAGAAGCGACACCAGCGGATTGAGGATGCGGAGAAGAGACGACAGTACCGTATTGCTCACGGGTTGGAGGAACCGACTGAGGAGCAGGGCAAGACGGAGACCGAGGTGGTTGATGATCAGTCTCCGATAGCTGCCGATGCGGAGGCGAAGCAAGTGGATGGAGAATATGTTGATTAGGAGGGAAAGAAGAGGCCTGTCAAGAAATGGTTGGGCATCTGGTAGGGTGGCTCTTACTGTGCTGATATTGGGGTCTGGATGGGTGGCTGGATGATTGAGCGACTAGAGTTTATAACAATGCTGGAGAGCTTACTATGTAGATTAGCTTTGCATATCTTTGGATTTTGTCTTAGCATTGTATTATTCATTATGTACATGTCTCTTGTCTTTTGATGTGATGGTCCATCTTTCCCGCCAGGCTGCCGATTCGGCACTGTAAAGAATTGCCTTGGGGCCTGCAGCCAGAGGATTCTCGCAAAGCGCACAGAAGACCTTCTCCTACATTGTAGCGAATCAGGAGCGATGCGCATACTTCTGCTGAGTATTCCTATCTCTGCCGACAAAGAGTATGTGGTAGGAGACGTATAGAGCGCGCACCTAGGGCACGATGTCATCCGTATTCGGGACAATCAAGTGTCGCATCAATTCATTCACCCAACTTGAACGCCCTCTAGACCCTCGAGAACCTCCTCACCAACACCACCTTTCTCGAGCACGAGCTTAACCATGCGAGCAACCGTGCTTCTCTTCACACCTCCACGACGGGGCTTCCAAACTCCTGGAACCTCTTCCTCGCCTGTGGATGGGTTCAGAATGGCCGCTTCTTCGGCAGCAGCTGTAGAACCTAATGTAGTCACATTTTCCGAGTTAGGCACACCAGGTTGCGTTAACCTGGAAGGAGGGTCGATCGTGCGGATGGAAACAAGCTTCAGGCTATCGGAATCGCTATCCCGAGTGATAGAGATGGCCAGAACCGTATCAGCAACAGCAATCTCCTCTCTATCTGGGTCGAAGATAATGTTTTCGCCCACAGAGACGACGAGCAACGTTACTGGGGGGCGAACTTGTTGGGCAGAAGTAGGGGATACTGTCGAGGTAGAGCGTGGATACAGGTATTCTGCAGCATCCCAATCATCGTCGAAAAAGGGATCCTCCTCGCCTTGGGACTTCAACTTTGGAAGCTTCGTCGACAGGAGCGCCAGATGGGTCGTTAAGGAGAGTAGTGGAAGCGGATATGATTGAGGCTGGGAGAGAAGAAGAACCTAAATCAACAGCATTAGAGTCGACCGCCTAGTGAAATTGAACAAGCGCCTTACATCAATATACAAACGCCAATGCCACCGCTTGTTGATCACCAGCCTTCCCTTGAGTCCACCAGCCATCTCGCCGACATCCCCAGAGCCCTCACTTGATACCGACTCAACCAGAGGCTCTCGCATCATCTCGGACAAGAAAACTGGCAAAGCATCGTCATCCCGGAACCCTGGGATCTCGATCGACATCTGCACCCATGACCCATGTCCAGAACTTGATCCTTGATTTCCCTCGCCGTCGTTATTCCCTGCGTATTCTTCCTGGGTCTGTTGTGGCAATTTGAGCGCATCTGCCGAGACCGATGTTTTTTCTACCTCCGCCTTTACTCCGACGATTGCTTGGGTGCCGTCCGCAAAACCAACACGCGCGCTACCGTTAGTTCCGGGAAGGATATCAGTCTCTGCTGTTAAGGGCCGAAATTGTGTCGCCGAGCGCCCATCTGGTCGAATTGGGTTACCTGGAAGAGCAAGAGATGTGTAGAGATAAGAAAGCTCTGCAGGCGAGATATGTGGGGTTTGGGAGGCGGACGAGGCCTGCCTTTGGGCCGCCATTGGGGCAGACAACGAAGAAAGAAAGAAAGAAAGAAAAAGAAAAGGAAAAGGCAATAGAAAAGATTGAGGTTGAGATTGAGAGAAAGACTCTGAATTATGTGGATATTGTCACACAACCTGATAGCTCCGCGGCGATCAGTTCAGCCGTGAATGAGTGGAGTAATTTTCAGTCCCAAGATAACCAGTCAGGCCAATGTATGGCGACCTCTTTGAGAAGATAGCAATACGTGCTTAATATGCGATTTATTCACAGGAGCAGAATAACCATAGCAAATATTAAGATAATGTGCTACACAGGGACAAGTTGAACTGGCATACAAAAGTAGCACTTGCTATGGAAATTCTGCGAAAGGCGGACAATCGTTATTCCCGACCCGCTCAACGTTCCCATTAAACGCTTATCAGCTGGTACAACTGTCGATCCTAAGCAAAGAAGGTAAAAATAATATGATGTCAAGTACTCGATAAAGAGCACTTTTGTGGCCTGTGTGATTAGGTATATATATATAAACATACGGCTGGACAGCCGAATCTAAGTACTATATTACAAGGTGTGTAGAGCCCAAGACTAGCCACCAGTGGTCCTTCCCAACAACAAGAAAATTGTACATGAGGTGAATCAAAAGTTTTTGCAAAGGTCACATCACTTCCCTAGGTGAGATGCAATGAGCGGCAGGTGAGGAGAATAAGGGATGAAAGAGAAAAAGGAGAGGCTAGTGAAAGATGTTTAGGAAGTGTATCAGCGGTAGGTAGTGATGACAGGAAGTGACAAATGAAAACAAAAAGCTGTTGGTAGTGGACAAGACATGTTGGGTAAACAATGCATATATGTATATATAAAGAACGATAGCAGACCTCGCGACTCGCGCATTTGGTATCAAAACAATGTGCAAACAAGAACACCGCAAACGAAAGACAAGATATGAAAACCGCATGCCGAAACCAGGTTGCGAGGCCAACTATATCTATAAAGGCCTTTGGGGTATGAAGACAACAATGAAGACAAATGAAAAGGAACCCGGGCTAATCCTTGCCCCATGCAAAATAGGGAGAGAAGATGTTGTCACAAGAAACAAAAATGAGCAAAAAAAAAGAAAAGAAAAGAAAAGAAAAACACCAATCACCGGAAAGACGAAAGAACACAAGACACCAGATCCTGTACGCCATGCTCGGTTAGATCGCCAATTACCGCGCGTCCCCCCTGTTTTTCTCTCTTTGATAAATCCAAACAAGACTGGGAATCAAATATCAAAACACGACATCCACGTGTGGCACAACGCTCACAGGGCGAACTACCTATAGGTCGACCCTGTCATGAAGTTTGTAGGGCCTGAATGGTTCCAGTCCCCATCTTCGTAAGGCGGGGTAGGCCATTGGCGCGTACTTGTGGCAGGGTCTGTCTTGCCATCGGCAAGACCCAATCGCCTAATTGGAGTAGCATCAGAGTGGCCAAAGGAAACACCGTCACATTTTGCTGATGGAGAGGGGGTAGGATAGGGGCTAGGCAATGCGCGTGAGTTGTCGTTTCCCATGGCCTGGTGACTATAATTCGATGATCTATCGGACGATGCCTCAGTCTGTGCTAGTCGTCTCGCAGCTTTACTCGCCGAATGTAAGGCTTCATCGAGGAGCTCATCCTCCTCTTCCGGCGTTTCGTAGCGGTGAACAGGGTGGCTGGAGAGCTGCAGCGCACGCCGAGTTCGGCTGGAGATTGGCGCACCAGTACCACTGGTTGAAACGGGGCTATCTCCCATTGAGCGTATAGATCCTTGAGGCATGGATTGTCTCTTAACACCCTCCATGGGTGAGGTAATATGGACAGGGACATTTCCAAGTGCAGTCGAATCGAGTGAGCATTTCACGCCCTGAAGGGCTTTGTCCAATTCCGACAAATCAGAGCCTTGCTTGGCGTCATTAGCACTAGCAGTGTCCAAGGCTAAAGATGAACGATTCGACCAAGGCATACAACCAGCATTAGCCTCAACATCATCGCTTCCCACGTTTCCCTGGTTACGGCCAGATAGCCGACGAGCACGTTTGCGAAGGTGAGAGAAAAAACTCTCCTTCTGGTTGGCACCAACCAGAGGGTTTCCACCATTCAAAGCCCTCTCCGCTTCTTGCCTGTGGACATCAGCGTAGTGATTGCCATGGGAGTTGAGCGAAAGCTGTCTGCCAATCTTCTTGCTCGCCTTTCCGTTGTCACCGGCAAGACATGAATTTGCTTGTGCTGTGACTGCGTTGGAAAGCGGGGATACCGGTCGGATTGAGGGCAAGATAGGCATCGGGGCTCCATTTGCCCAAGTGGCACGCTTACTGGGCGCAGGCTTAGTCTTGGTCGTCTCAGGGGCCGTGCTGTATGAGACAACAGGCTGTTTTGACTGCTCGTTATCGCTATCAGACCTTCCGATCAATGATCTTCTGAACCACGACGACTTGGATGTGAGAGAGGGCGAGTCACTGTTTTCCCGGGTAGGAGACTTGAAGCTCTTGTCCGAAGTTTTCCGACCCAACAGTCTGGCAGTTGAGGACCTCGGTCTCAATGGGTCAACAGCATCTGCAAAGTACTCATGATTCAAGGCTTGTGTCGAAGTTGGCCTATTCTTGGGATCCCACATCAGACACCAAGTGACAAAGTGGCTAAGAGACGTTGGCCATTGGGGTGCTTGGAGGATGCTTTCCATTGAATGCGGGGCCATCTGCGAAGAGAGTCAATTTCTGGCCCTGTCGTTATATGCCATGGGGGACATACCTTGGGGAAAGTGAATCCCAGTTTCTGAGCAAGACGGGAGCCATCTCTCCATTCACCACCACCGAGCTTGGAGCCCGACTTACTGTACCAGTTCCCTGGGCTACCCATAATTTCGCAAACTCGCCAAACCTGATCAACTTCATTACCACCGGGAAACAATGGCTTTAACGTAGCGATTTCAACGGCCATGGCTCCGACAGCCCACATGTCCACAGGCGCGGAGTATTCACCTGCACGCAAAAGGACCTCAGGAGCTCGGTACCATCTTGTGGAGACATATGTAGTGTACGGGAGCTTGGAATGGGTCTCCCTTGCGAGGCCAAAGTCGGCGATTTTCACGGTATATGTTGGAGGGGTTGAGGGGGGAGTCACTAGGTTAGAGTAACGGCTGAAAGCAGAGTCGCTCGGAGCGGATGTGGAGACAAGGATGTTTTCCGGTTTGATGTCACGATGAAAAAAGTGGTGGGCATGGATGTGATCAAGGCCCGACAAAATTTGGTATAGGATGCTCTTCACATGCTTCCCATCGAACGGCTTGTGGTCTCGAGATTTCATCAGTTGGTAAAGGTTACCATCCATGTATTCCATACAGATATGCAGCTTGCGGGAAAGAGGGTCGAGAAAGATGTCGAGAGCTGGAACGAGGTGTGGATGAGCGGGCAGGGTCCGTAGGAAGATGACTTCCCGTAATTCTAGACATGGAGCTAATGAATCAAAGGTCTTCTTCATAGTCTTAATGGCAACCTGATGATGAGGTCAGCACAACAAAGCTTCCCCACGATGCCAGAACGGGTCTTACCATGGTTCCTCTCCGCGCGATGTTGGAACCAGCCGTCCGTACACGAGCCACGGCAACACTGCCAAAGCTACCATCCCCGACTTCCTTCATCACTTCAAACCGGTCTTCAAGGGTAGCCATTGACGTTGGTGCGGCATTCCGCAACGACGAGTGATCGTAAGAGACGGTCATTGTGTCTCTCCTTATCCTTCTCTGCCAGCAGATGTATCGAGAGAGTTCGGATGACTGTTGGGCTTCTATCAGCCGGTCTTGTTCTGTCGCAGGGGTAGATGTCTCTGCGGGGGATCTCACCCTATATAAGTGGTATTGGCGGTAAAGGATATCTCTTCCAATGATATTCGGAAGGGAGTCAGTCAAAGCAGGTGATCATCATTCGAAGTTCAAGCGTTATTGAGTCCACAGTAAGTGAAACGAATATGGTTCTCTTCCATCGATATACCGGTTAGGGCCAGAGGGTAAGTGGGATATTGATTAGATGTAAGAAGATGAGGAACAGGAATGAGTGGGAGAAGAGGGGGAAGGGGTGGTCATGTAGTTCCCAGGAAGGTGGAGGAGAGGCAGATCTGGAAGCAAGATGGAAGACCCAGAGGATTGGACGTGATCACTGTAGTGATAGGAGCGGACCCGTTTTGGTGGGAACTGCTAAACGAAAGGATGATCGGAGGCCGAGTTGAAGGAGCCCCTGACGCGGTGACAGCTTTACCAGCACTTTACCAGCTCTAAGACGAGACTTGGGGCCGGGCCGTGGAGACTTGTGAAGAAGCGGTCGACGACGGAGCGAGTCTTGAGGGGGGTAATAGTTTGATGGTGCAGATCACAGGGAAATAGTAATGATAGGACGGTAATAATAAATATTGAAAAGAGAAAAAAAATAAAAGAGGGAATAAAATAAAAAAATAATAGATCAAAACAGAGGAAAATACAGATAGATTATTGAGGGGTCAATACAGTTGGAAAAGAGGGACGGGGGCTGACATGGACCAAAAAGGTAAATTCAAATAATTATCATTCGAATTGACAACAGGTAAGACACGCAGCCATGTAAGTCACTAAGAAAGAAGGAGGTTGGATGGTTGGGTGTGTAAGAAAAGGGAAAAAAACAAATAAGAACTGTAAAAAATGTAAAAAGGAAGGCAGCAATTGAGGAGTGAGTATGAATGAGTGAACGGACGCGAGTGGTCACTGAGAGACAAAAAGAAAGACAGAAGTGAGCGATAGTAGCATTGAGGACGCGAAATTCAGACAATAATAACCACCATCAGAGAACAAAAAAACATGATTACTCTGCCTTCTCCATACTCGCAGACTAGTTTTACCCGCTAACACAATTTGGTCACCATACCCTCTAACAAGACTCCGTAATTATCCTTGCGAACTAATAATAATGCCTGTTGTCGGATGGGAAGGCCTCCACACTAACTAAAAGCGAAGACGAGTCAGGAATGGACCGGAGATCCACCCCGCTTAGGAAAAAATAAATCGTCCATTATATTTCATGGAAATTGCAGAAACGATGAGCGATAAAAATAAAAAAAAAAAAAGGAAAAAAGAAAAAGGAGGTCATCGGGAACAATGGCCTCGACTCAAGACGGGTAGCCGTTACGGCAAATTGCCGAAAATGTAGTAAACATGGATTTAACACATTATTCTACATGGGTTAACAATTTCCTGAGAGGTAAATGCTGTCAACACAATAAAGATCAGAGAAAAGCGTCATACGAAGATAATAATTATCGGTCAATGGGCATCATCTGACAATCTTGGTACGCAAGGTACGCTTCGATCTTTTTTTTTCTCTCGGTCTTATTTGTATTTTTCTTTTTTGGTTCCTTTCTTTTGTTTCTTTTCTGGCCTAATCCATAAAAGGTTGAAACATTGTCGTAATGGTGTTACGCCTGAAATTTCGGGTTCAGTGGAGCGGAAATTAGTATTTTCTAGCGCTATGATTGTCGCAAAAGATTAATAGAGTTACCAATAAATGTGCTCCATTTGTACAGTCATACGCTAAAATACCCAAAGCAATAAATAGTAGCCGGGCACTGCAGTTCGTAGAACGCTCCCCATTTATGGGGGAGGCGTTTACATAACGCACTGGTACACCGTGATGCGGCTGATAATTCCATCCCATCTAGTTATCTCTCTATCTCTTTTGCTTTATCTTTGCAACGGATATCTGATCAAGCATATTACTATGCTCAATAAAAGTAACTACTAGTATTACCTAGGATATCGGAAATGATTTCAAGCCACCCGACGGTTCAAGGGTTAGTATGGGAGAGTTTTGGAGCCACAATATCCGGCACCAATCCCTTGTGTTGACTGCTGACACCGGGGTTTGGATAAAGCAGCCAAAGAGCTTCAAAAACAAATGGGTCAAAGACTCATTCAGTGGTCACCATCGCACGCCGCTTTGAAGACTTAGGAGGTCCAGCCTTAATAGCGACCCACATAGTCCCCGCCTCTAGCGATCGTTAGACGGGCCCTAGCAAGGATGGCCAGGGGTTGGGCCGCGTTTTCTCATATGACTCTGTACACTGTGTGTACGGAAACTTACGGGGGTCAAGGTACTGTCTGTATTCCGCTCCCACACAGGGTCCGGACTCTTCGAGCTCACAAATCAAACCCTCGAGTAATGTGATGTATACGCTCTGTGCCAACCAGTCCAATCCGGTCCAACCCGTACTTTTGATGGGATAGCGATGATTCCCATTGGTATGTTGATGACCTCAGGGGGCTTTTCTTTGCATCAGAATGCTTCTTTTTTTTCTCTTAAACTTTAACTCCCTTCCTTGCTACATATGCATACATCAAGACAAGAAAAAGCCAAGGTATGTTTGGGCGATGATGACCGTCACTGCATTGTTTGTGTAACCTTAGGCAGCATGGACAATGGTACACCGTTCATGCAAGTTGTTATCTGCATTGGTGGATAGTTCATCAGCTCCATCTCTCAAGGTAATCCCACCAACAGTGGCTAACCATGTAGCGTGTGGCTGACCGCCAACAGAGAAAGTCAATGTCACCGAGGGGAATGTGGTACGACCTCCCCTCTCTAACCTCTCGATTTATGATAGGAAAAAATGAGACTGGGACCTGAAAGGATGGGGGCGTTAGTAGCTTCCACGCCCCTCGAAAAAATTCTATCAAATCAATATTTATAACAATGTATTCCATGCTCTACCGACAATTATCCATCATCAACTCGCTAAGAGCATTCGACGACTAATCGGTAAGGACTATGGAGTACGCGCTTGATAATCTAAACTGATTACCCAGATCTGTAAGTCATCCGAGTGGTGGAAACCGGGTGGATATCACAACTGTCAAACCATAGTCGCGTGGGTGATACCCCTTCCCAAACGAGAAGAAAGTACTCCGTAATCAAAGTAAATAAATGAAATAAAAATAAAGAAACACATATAAAACTAGAAATCCATCCATTGTTTCGAAGGATACCTCAGGGGTTTCGGCCACTGCTCCGGGAAGCCCGCTTTGTTTGGAGCTGTGTGACGTGTAGATTAATGTTGCCAGATATGAAAAATACTTGGAAGGCGACTGATGACCAAAAGGACATACTGCCTGCCAGAGACAAGGCGAATCTTTGGGGAGCTGAGTGGAGGCGATTCACTGAGTTTGAGTTCTCAGCTCACCGCTAATGTATTGGATCTCGATGCAATACTATGCGTACTGGACTGCTTGTTTCGTGACCGACTGAAGGAATAGTCTCGTAACTTGCGGAGTCGTAAATGGTCCCGACTTGGCTCACATGATTTTTCGCAGGTAGTCCAGCATATGCGCCGTAAATCCATACCTAGTCCCTAGTACGCAACTCGATATCCCCATTGTCTTCTGGGGCAAAGACGCCGAATGAACGAAGTGTGCAAGTATCTACTACTGACATGCATGTAGGCAGTGCCACTTACAGGTCGAGTCCATGAACCATCCCACTTATCTGGAGTCAGTGCCATTCTGCATACTACTTGGGGGAATTCAACCCAAGCCAATAGATCCGAACAGTTCGCTCCAAGACTGAGACTGGTGTAGTCTGTTACTACAGCTACCGATCACATCCACGACGTTGTGGTGATCTCTCCACTGAGCTGAAAATCTTGGTCTGTACAACATTGTTGGTGTCCAATAGTGTACTGTCGATGCTCACAGATCCCATCCCACCTGTTTGTAATAATATGTATACGTTACAGTATGGCTCGGTATTGGATGATTCTTAAATATTCAGGTGGTAATCTGTAATGGTGCTATGCATGATATGCTTAATCTGGCTGCAGACTCCATATAGAGAGGCCTATATCAAGATCTTACACGTCTGATATACCCACAGCATAACCTCCAAGTTCAGTAATATATGAACCCAGCATCTGATGTGTATCTGCCAGAAGCCGAAGAGAATGACTTTTTGTCTCTTTCTGGATTTGAACGCGATTAACTCGTAAGTGGTGGGTAGACTCAAGCTGATACATAGCCCAGAAAGGAAATTACGGATCACATCCATCATCAGGTGTTTGACTTGCGATATGACCTTGTATATTACTCATTTTTGCGATTTCCTGGTTTTACGGCGTGTCATCAATGTGTATACCTTTTTCTTTTCCTCCCTCTCTCACTTTAAAAAGAATAAGATAAATAATTAAATTAAATTTGTTATTAACATTCTATTACTCCCCTTGATTTCAGGCTAATTTAATCTTTTCTCGTCGGACAATGACAATAATGCCTCAAAAAAATTTACGGAGTACGCTCGGAATCTGATATAACCGTGGTTAGTACGGAGTACCAGTACAATATATTGCCCCGGTTACATATTCCCTGGTTTTAGACTATCCCCTACATGGGCAACGTGGGCTCGAAAAGTTTGTAGGCAAACCTACGGTTTGCAGGAACAAACGAAATCAGGAAAACATGAATAGAAAAGGGGAAAGAAACTAAAATCAAATAAATAAAATCAAATACGAAATGATAAAAAAAA